CAACAATCATGTTTTCTCTATTAAATTAAAATTGACTGGTTAATACATTATTTTCAAAAAATTTAATCAGTGTAAATAGTCATTTAATTTTTAGGTTTCATGTGCAGTCAAGATAAATGATAATGTTAGAGTATGAATACGATATTTTGAGAATTACGGGAAAGTAAACTGAGTAAAAATAATAACATCGCTGCTTGAACGGATTAGCAAAATCTGTAACATCTATTTTGCATCACACTTCATGTTGAAAAAGCATGTTCAACAGCACTGGCAATGCCCTCTTCAGCTTGAGACATTACCACTTGCTCCTCGGCAAAAAAGAATTCGACCAATTCGAGTAGCTGTCAGGGGCAGAGAGAGCTTATGACAATTATTGCTAACACCGAAAATGCTTCTATTTTAAGTGCTGAATGGTTAGATGAGGACGATGTTGACTTGTCTGGTATATCAGTGCCGCAAGATGAATATGATAAATCAGCTACTATGGACGAGGCCCATCAGGGGGTCATTTCAGGAGTTTTTTCAGGTGGGGGGTAGGAGGGGGAAACCAAAACTTGGTCGGCTTGTTAATTTGTTTTTACTGGAGGCGCCACAGTACATAGCAATTTAAATAAAACCTGCAAATTCAGGAAGGGGGCAAATGCCCCTTGCCCTACCCAAATGATGTCCCCGATGCCCATTGTTACGATAGAGCATCACCTTGCTAATCCATGGGAAGATGATAGCAGCTAGAACCTAAACTATAATTGTCAGCTTTACTGACAATAATCCTAGTTATACTTCCACAGGCGGTGACATTTAGTCACTAACAGCCTTTTCATGGATTCTGCATCATAAAATGTAAATGTAAAAGTAACAACTTTTTAACTTGTTGATCAACCAGCTAAAGATGTACCGTAATGAAATGTTTTTCCCACAATTTTGTGTCATTAAAATAAATCAGCACACAGTAAAATGTATTTATAAATTTATATAAATAATAATTCTTTTTTTTTTTTTGTTAATTTTTTTTTTTTGGGGGGGGGGGGGGTGGGGTATTATTTTTTTTTATAAATAAG